TTTATATTTTAAAAAGTAATGTAAGTCAGCTGTTTACAGTTCAGTCCTGTTGGTGAGTTCCATTCCCAAACTGATTTTATCTTCCTCTTTGGTGTTTTCTTTGTATCAAGTAACACATGCACATGGTTTTAAAACTTCCATAGAAGTACTAGCTTTTAATGCAAAATAGCAAGGCCCCATGTCTGCCTCATCCCTGATTTACACTCCCCAAAGACAAATGCTTTCAGCTCTGTCCAGGTTTATAAATAACATACCTATATTGTTATTTCTTAATTTTCAGATTTAGATATATTAACTGTTCTCTTCCTGAGCGGAAATGTAAGTCATTAGCTCTCCTTCCTGCTCATCTTGCATGTTCCCTCTGAAATTCCCAGATCCCTTTCCAATATGTAGACTTTTTCCTCCTTTCATCTTATCATTTTTGGTTAACTCAGCTTTTACATTATTATGATTTTGTTAACTTATTCTTAGCTCAGATGGGGTGTGTGATAATTGCATTTCCTTTCTTGTACATGTTTTAAATTTTCTCTAGCACATCATTGCCCTGTTTTATATTCATGTACCAATCACTAATGCAACTCACAATGCTTCAACAGAACCGAGAATCCCCTCTAAAGCTATTAAAGCATATAGCATATTTTCTCCGTTTCATTTTTTCCTTTGGCTCCTGTCTTAGTCCGCATTGGGACTTTCCTCAAATGTGTGGTGATTCTTGCTTATTTGTTTGTATTTAGGAGCACACACTAAAATGTTGATTGGAAATTCTGTGTGTGGGCAGGACTTAATCAATATAATGTGCTCTACATAGTCTATTTCTCTGGGCGTCCTACTCTCTGTAGGCCTTTTGTTTTGGGGTGATCAGTTTCTCAGAAAGGATTCTTCCAGTCTAGTATGGGGGTTTGGTGGGAGACAGGGCTAAGGGTTTCAGTGTTCCTTGGATACAAACACTTTCTTTTCTTCTTGTCTTCAATAGGGCTTTCAAGTCATCTTTATTCTTCTCTACTGTTTCATTGAAACTATTTTTGCCTTTTGTATAGTGTGACCATCATTCAACCAAGGTTTAAGGAATCTTGACACTGTAGAAAGAGGATAAAATAGAAATTTTTTGATTCTTGTATTTAGTAAACTACCATGAGAGAAAACATTTGTACCAACATAGTTTAAAAAAAAATTGTATTTCTTTTGATAAAGAATTTAAAAAATGTGATTTTTTAAAAACATTTTAAAATTAAAGTATACAATGGAAAGTGCACAAATTTTAAAGGTACAATTTATGAGTTTCTGCATATATGTATGTGTATATGCCAGTGTTATTACCACCCACGTCAAGTTGTTGAACATTTCTAGCATAATAGAAGACTTATTCTTGTCAATACTTCACACCAGCCAGAGTTAACTACTATTCTGACTTCACTCCTAATAGAAAAGTTTTGCCTCTCCTTGAATTACAGCTGTTGCTAGGGGGAAATAAGTAGAGTATGTGGGATCACTCTGCATTTTTCTTAAAATACAATTAGTTTAACATAAAAATATAATTTAAAACAATGGGGATAAATTTGGAAAAATACTTCATGAAAGAAAATATGAAAAGTACACAGGAAAAGTATGTGAGAAATACATCGCTGGGTATTAGGAAATGAAATTAGTGTGTTCCCTTTTATTTTGTCTTTTTTCACTCAACATAGTATTGCTGAAATTCACTCATGTTAAACTCCATCATTAGTTCTTTTCTATTGCTATGTGCTATTCCAGTTTATGACTATGCTACAGTATGTTTATTCATTCTCTTCTTGGTGGATATTTGTTTTTTTTCTGCTTTGGGGCTATTTTTGCTAAAGCCGCTGTGCACATTTTTGAACATGTATTTTGATGGACATATGCACTCATCTTTTTGGGCATATACCTACGCATAGAATTTTTGGGTTGTAAGACAGGTGTGTGTGTTTAGTCTTAAGAGATATGGGTAAAATTGAAGCTGTATATACTCCACAAATCAGCATTTCACTCCAAGGTTGTCTAGGAAGACTCTTGCACATTTATGTAGAGAGAACATGCTTACTGATGGTCATGTACAGCACTGTTTATAATACTGAAAATGTTTAGAACCTGCAAAATAAAACAGGATGCTGGCTATGTCAGAGTAAGAAGGGGGAATGAAAATGGGGAGGGGTACACAGTGAGGCGTCCCCGAGCTCTGTGATATTCCATTCACTTAAATAAGAGCAAAAACAAAAGTATAAGTCATCACACAAAACTCTGAAGCATATCTGACAAAAATGTTAAGATTTGACAAAATTCAAAGGTGGATATACTTTTTATTATGTTATTTTCTATACTTTTTGTATTACTATATTTGGTAATGAAATAACTGTAAGTTAGCACAGGATTTTGCATTGAAATTAAACTTTACTGACTGCCAAAACAGGGATGGTAACTTTGGGAAGGCATTAGGTTCAGTTCATATTCAAGTAGGTTCCATGAGGATTTTGGGATATTCTAGATGACATGTCTAATTCAGGTATTTAAACAAATTGGTTTTTTCCTCTGGAGTCTGACTTTCTTGTTGATCTGTTTATTTTTGTCCTTTTCCTTTCCATATGTAACAGTAAAAATGAGTAAGTCAAATATTTCTACAGAGTTCTCTACATGGCATCATCCGCCGTGGACCTAATTGTCCGTGAAATATATTCTGGTATCTCATTTTGGTTAGAATTTTTGTTACCTAATGTCCAGTGATATTGTCAATAAACATATTAAAAAGTGTTTTAAAAACAAGTTGCAAATTAAAACCACAAGGAGGTGCCAGTGTACTCCTACCTGGATGAAGGATGAGGACACCTAAAATTGGCTAGGGTGTGGAACTTCTGGTAGGGTTTTAAACTGTTACAAGTCCTTTGGTAAACTCATTGTCATTTCTGCCCAATTTGGGCACATATATATCCCATCACCTTAAGTTTGCTAGCTATCTGTACGACATACACGTGCATATGTACCAAGAGACATGCAGAGGTTATGTTATAGCAAAGTATCTTGATTGTGCTGATGAGTCTTAGGATACTGGTTTCATTAAGAAATGTAGAAAAATTCCATAGTACATAAAGCACTTGGGTACCATGCAAATGTAATGGCTGGTTATATATAATTGGAGAGAGTGATTGATCTGGCAGAGTAACTCCTGCAAACCAGACTGAACATGAGAAACAAAGTAAAATAATAAACAAGCTGATAAATTTGAAATTTCTTATCTACTAAAATAATTAAAAGTATCTTTGATGTTGAATATGTATGTTCAACTTTTTCTTAATTGATACATTTTCACATTGAACCTAAATACTGTAATGTGTAAAATCATTACCTGCCTCAATTTTCTATTTTTAATAAGAAAAAAAGTTACTTCTTGTGTATCAGTGTCATTCTGCTGGTCTACCACATTGCTATGGGGTTCTTATCAAATTCTCAGTTCACAGTGATGAATTCACTGAATTATTCTAAATCACTCATACTTACCTGGCATCATTACCATCAGCAGCAATAGTCTGTTATAGGGGTTCAGCAGAGTATGTCCTGCAGGGCAGCTGCTTGTTTTTGCAAATAAAGTTTTATTTCAAAGCAGCCACACCTGTTTGTTTACGTGCTCTTCACAGCTGTTCTCACATTACAACAGTAGAGTCAAATCATGGTGACAGAGACTATGTAGCCTGCAAGCCTGAAGTATTTAATATATTTAGTCTTATAAGAGAGAAATTGCCAACTCTAAAGAATATAAAAAAGGCAACTGCATAAAGTAGATGTTACCCTTAATCTGATGGAGAGGAGGAGAAAGGAATTTAGGAAGCTTCCGCATACCCACCCAAAGTTGAGATCTCGATCTCTGAGGACCTGGTTGTCCCAGGAATATGCCAGTAAGTGAAGAAACTTGTCAGAGACTGTGGGCCTTTTATGGTTGTCCTTGGAACTGTCGTGGCGCCTGTGGGCATGTTATTCACCATGCTAATCTGTTACAATGGGCTAGTATAATGAAGTTCAAGGTCTTCTAGAAGTCAGATCTCCCGCCATCTTGAGCCTCAAGGCCTACTGGGGGTTGAATCTTCCACCATTTTGGTGTTAATTGCTGTGTCATTCCTTGAATGACTGTGCGCTGCCCCCTTCCTTCCTGTCTCATTATGATTGACTACATAGAAAATTCAAGACTCTAATATTAGAACTATTAGGAAAATTGAGCAGATTTTCTGGATCAAAGAGGAATATACAAAATAACTACTATTTCTGCATATCAGTAACTTAAGAAATGTGATATAGAGGTGCTTCTTACAATCGCAATGAAACTACAGTGGAACCCAGCAATCAATCTAAAGGAAGTACAGTATTAATAATATAAATTACCGAAATGAAAGATATTAAATATGATTTAATAAATGGAGAGAG